ACCAGTACTGGAGAATCAAATGGAAAAACTGGAAATGAAATGGAAGCTGGGCTTGTAAAGGGGTTACATAGGGATCCAAGTATACAAATAATACCTATATTGAGCCCCAGTGTCTGTAAATGCTTCCCAAATTTTGGACTCCTAGGGAGGGAGTTTGAGAAGTAGCTTCTATTTTCTTTCCCATTCACTGCAAGATCCCCATATACCCCCATATAAACCAGATATAACAGGTAAATCCTAAATCCCTTAACCCTAATACAACAGGTCCTAAAGGAAACTCTCTCAGCTTCGCGCGAAGACGCCCGGCGAGCTGCGCGCAGCGGCGAGGTTTCCGATGCGAACCCACTCCGAGGGCTTAGCGCCTGAAAATTTAGAGTTTAGGGTTTGGGGTTTCCATTTTGGATGCTTTACGGGGTCCAGGAAAGGGTTGAGGTACCTGTATGGTACATGTTTGGGTTTCTAAGGCCTTTGCAAAACGGTACGGTACCTTGGTGCCCAAGTACATACAATACAGGTATTTGAACTTTGTGGGTGCTGCGTGGCAAGAGGTGTCAATAAAAACAGGGAATTGTGGTTGCATGCCGTCTAAGGATTGACTTACTGGGGCTGGGTAGTGAATATGGGAATATATATTATATAGGGATTGTATAAGGACTGTATTCCCTTATCCCCTAACGAGAACCAGCAAGGTGAAAGGGTCTGGGGTTGGGCTTCGAGGATGAACCTTTGCGCTGCAACGAACCATAGGTTAGGAGGACCCCCCCACCCTGTAATAGTGGTAAAATGGGAATATAAGAGGACCCCGATATAATCCCTATTATCCCCTATAGTCACTATTACTGGGTGGGGGGTCCACCTAAACCATAGGTTGTGGCAGCTCAGAAACCAGTGTAGTTACCAAGCTCTGGAGCGCTTACCGTGTCACAGACCTGGCAGGCCCGTGATGAACGTTACCACAAAACACTGTAATATACTATAATACACGATATTATTATTACTATTATTTTAGTATGTTATGGTACATCTAATGTACCATAATATACTGAAATATACAGTAATGTACTATGAAAAACACACCCGCAGAACTATGAGGGCAGCTGGACTTGGCAAACGGTGGCCCCGGCACCCCACTCAGCGCCCCAGTAAGAGCCATGAAGCCCCAATCATACGTTCAAGCGAACAATAACCTCCTCGCCTTAAGCGAAATTGCAACGCACTTGGTGCGTACCTAGGGACGACCATAAGGATCCATGCCTTCATTCCTTGCTAACCAAAGGTAAGTTATGTAGGCCCCATATAAGTCTCAGCTTCAAAGTTGTCATTCTGCATGTTCTTTTCCATGTGTTTTTCCATTAGCGGGGTAATGACCCTACATTACTCCGAACATCATCCCTGTATATAAGCCCTACATCACCTAACTCCAACATAACCCTAATGTGGTATATCATCCTGGGGGTAATATCCCTAAACCCTAAACCCTAAATTGTAGCTTCCATTCTGTTTTCCAGTCCCTATACACTCCCTGTACAAGCCCATATAGCCGTAACATTTCCTAAGCCCTAAACCCTATCTAAACCCAAAAAAACCCGAGGTACCCAACGTGTGCTCTCAGTTCCAGGCTCGGAATCGGCACCCGCCACGTGTCATCACAGCGGTTCCATTTCCTTCCAAGTCTCTCTTGGCTTAAAGAGTGTGGTTACGGATTTAGGATTAGGGTTGCTGGCTTTAGGCTTTGGGACGCGGATGTCCGGTTTGGTAGGGGTTTGAATAGGGATGAAATTTGGGGTTTCAGCCCATCAGCATGTCTCAGTATTGCTACTGCTCACCACTTCTTATGTATTGTCATCAGAACTGGGGAACCATCATCTCCACATGCCCCACAGTTTTCCGAACATCGTTCACAGAACATCATTCTTGCAACCGATGCATTTGATCCCAAAACCGACGCCAAGACACCAAACTCCACACATAGATGCTCTAAATTGCAACATGAATGCCTCCTAACGTCAAGGTCGCCCTGCATACCTCTAAATGATATCCAAAGCTGCTGATATCCATACCGTAGCGGCTTTCCAGAAGGGAACCCGAGTTTTTGGAATAACCCCCGAATTCCTTAAGCCCTGCACTCTAAACCCAGTGAGGCACCAGCGGCCCTTTGAGCTCAAAACCCTTTGACCCCGAACCGCCCCCCAACCCCAGGAGCAGTGACCCTAGTTTGCTAGCCATTCCTTAAACCCCACAGGCTTCAAAGCCTACACCCAATCCCAGAAACCCGAAACACACTCACAACAGTCCTGAATACCACACCCCTACTTAGGGTGTCAGGGGGACTTAGTAAGTGACTCAATAATTGAGATAACTTGGGTTAGTATATGGTTTATAGAGATTGCTGGCCTAGTTACTAAGTCCCCTCCACGCAAGCCCTAAGCGCCATAAGCCCTACATCCCTATAAACCCTAGAACCCAAAACCGGCATACCACTACATACCCAATATGAAGCCTGTACAATCTGTTATGCCTAAACCCTAAACCCTATGAAGGGGTCCCTACAACCCGAAACCCAGCCTACCGCCTTCCTTAGCATGCTGGCCACCAAACATCACCTTGGACAAGTGGAAGTCCCAGATTTCAGGTTTGGAGCTTTAGGCTTGAGGGGCTCGAGGTATTAAAGCTGCTGCCTCTCTTTTTTTTTCCTTTAAGTTTCCTTAGCAGAGGGCACGTCATTGCACACGTTATTCATATGCCCGTCTGCCACCGCAACACTCATCAATGGGTGAAGCTAGAGGTCATTTCTTTCCTGCGCCTTGGCATGTTGTTGGGTTGGTAACGTGGGGAAAAATTTGATATTTGAAGGGAGAACACAAAAAATCAACTCCAAACCTGGCGTCTCTGAATCGTAGAACTTGGGCAGTTGGTTGAGCATTCCCTCAAGGCTGCAGCTTTTGCGTGGGGAGCTTGTAAGAGGTCTTGTAAACCCTGGCAGGTTGAATGCTTTGATGCCGGAATGAATCTTGTACATGACTGCATCAGGGATCCTCTTCATCAGTATATATCTCCTACACATGCGCGACTCTAAACTCCCTTCAGCGCAAACCTACCTGTCAAATCCCAGTTCGCGTGAGCATCAGCTGCCAGATGATGATGAAGAAGATTAGTTGCATACATATACAGCAACCAAACTCGTTCATATGAGCCATCGGCAAAACTCTAAAATCAGCCCTTCC